TCAGTGAAAAAAAGGAAGATCCCCAACAAGATGGACTGACACTGTGGCAGCAGAGATGGACTCAAGTATAACAATTTTAAGGACAGCACAGGATAGGACAGTGTTTTGTTCTGTTACATACAGGGTCACTATGAGTAGAAACTGACTCCATGACACCTAACAACAACCAAAAATTATCTAGGCCTCTTGTAATTGAGTGCTAGGAAATATGGACAGCAAAAGTAGTGTACAGAATACCCACTCCTGGGCACCCACCCTCCACAAAAAACCGTCCAATGTAATTCTCCACATCCTCTCTGCCCCATCTGCCACCCAGAAGCCATGTATTACAGCTGGCAATGACACCACAAGCTATGTTCCTGAATATTCCACGAAAAAAAGTTTACAACCTCTCTCCACTGCCTTAGGGAATTTATGTGCTTAAGAAATACACTTACCAATGGTTAAGACACTGAGATTTCAGGGTTCATCTATAGCAGCTAATAAGAACATGATCAAAACATTCAATAAAATTAAAAATTTTAATTACTTAGTTAATCCACAGTGAACTGGGGATAAAATAAAATAGTATTAAATATAAAAGTATATTTTATATGAAAATAAATAAAATTTTAAAAAGTTCTATCTAAACAAATATGAGATGTCATATTAAGATATAAATAGTTACAATATAAACTTTCATTAAATTTTTATTATATAAGTCAAGTAGGAGTTGTATTTCCAGAATTACAGTAGGCCATCTAGAGGTTAGCGTTAAACTCCTTGATGGTGAATGTTATGTGTAAACTTGACTAGGCTCTAATTCTCAGTGCTTTGGCAGCCGCTGGTATTACACTGTAGGATAAACACCAAACCGCTAACCAGTTTGCAGTTCAAACCCTAAATTACTATTGGAAACCCTATACTGGTTTGCTATGGCTTGGAACCAACTCAATAGCACACAACAACACAAACATGTAACACCTCCCAGTTTGTGATCTGATGTGAGCCATCTATTATTCAGAAGAGGAGTCACCTTTGGTGTGTGACCTGCATTTATGATATCAAAATAAATGTTTTGGCAAAACTAAAAAAAAAAAATTAAAAATCATCTAGGCCTTATATTTTGTCAACTGATGAATTTAAAAAATATATTTAATTTCTCTTGTACTAACTTTAAAAATTTATCCTTTCTGTTAATTTTTGTTTTCTATTTCACAAGTTTATCTTTTGCCTTTGTTAATTTTGTCTCCCTATGCATTTTGTGTATTTTATTTACTGTTCATTTCCTGATTTTTAAAAGTGATTATTAAAAAATTTCTTTACATGCTCTTCTATAGTAAGAAGTCCTGCTGTGGTGCTGTAAGTTAAGCACTGGGCTGCTAACTACAAGGCTGTGGTTCAAATCTACCAGCTAATCCTTGGAAACACTAGATAGCATCGCTAAGAGTCAGAACTGACTTGATGAACCTCAACAACAATGACAACTTCTATAAAAATAGATATCCAAGGTTTTTAATTTCCTGTTAAGTAAAAATTTTAGTATCAAATGTTCTCTTTTTCTTTGCATTCTAAATAGTTTTTATTTACTCTTTGATCCAAGGTTATCTAGAAGTGTGTTTCTTAATTTCAAAGAAGCAAAGACTCCTGGTATGGTGCTGTAGGATCAGCCCTGGACTATGAACCATAAGATCTGCAGTTCAAACTTACCAGTTGCTCCTTGGAAATCCTATACAGAATCCCTGAGTTGTAACTGATTTGACGGCACTTAACAACAACATAACAAGAATGTTTTAGCTTTATGTGAGCTGAGCCCTACAACGCTCAATAGACTCCTGTGCACCTGAATGGAGACCTGGTTGCCTAGGTGGCAAGTCCAGGGGACTCTTGGACTCAAAGTCAGCGACATAGCCACAGATGACTAGAGTGGAGAATAAAGCATCCAGCTGATAAGACGAGAGGGCACATGCACAAGTACACCCACACTTGCAGATAATACCCACTTGACCTGGCTTCAATGACTGGATGATTAGAGCTCAACCAGAAGAAGACAGAAGTGGGGAAAAAAGAATAATCTGATACAATTTGATGAACTTGGCATACACCTATGGAAGCAGTAGCTCAAAAGAGCGAACAACTCTTCACAGCGAGGATCATTCCCACCCCTTCTGCACATGGAAAAGACAGGGATGGGCAACTTGGACATTGGCTACCCAAAATGGGGGACTACAGAAGCAAGAAGTGACTGGCTTACAAGCTTTCAAGAGGGAACCTAGATCCAGAGGGCACGGAGCAAGGTAGAAGCTCCACTGAGTAGTATCCATTCTGTCTAGTCGGGGCTGATGAAAGGAGATGCAGATACGTCTGTTGTAATACAATAGTGAATATTATTATCAGGACTGATTATAAGGGCTGGAAATGTAAAGGTAGATGTTTTGTGGCAAAGGGAGGGGAGTGATTAACCTTGCAGTCTAGAGCGGAGGTCCCTGGGACCATCAAGGGAGAAGAGCGGAGAACGGAACCTTACCTAGAGAAGCAGAGATGCCAGGGATGGAGGCAGAGACGATGACATGGGGAGATGAAGTGGCTGGGGACTTTGGACCCAGAGAGGAAGAGGGGCTGTGTGCAGATGACCGGGGGACAGGCTTGCAGGGTATACCTTTTGGTTGGTGGATGATGATGCATAGAGGGGATTGTAACCATGGCAAAGAAATGATATACGACGGGATCAATGTAAAGCTAATGTCCTCCCATGTAGACTATCACATAATTCACAACAAAGCATTAAAAAAAGTTTTAGCTTTAAAAAATATGTATTTTTAATTTTGTCCAATTATGACCAGATGGTGTTTTCTATAAATTTTTTCCAGTGCATTACGATTTTTCTTTGTAGCCAAGAGTATAACTAATTTTTGTAAATGTTCAAAAGATTTAAGAGAAAAAAAATTCCTGTACTTTTTTAAACTTACAAGTCTGTAAATGTTTCCATTCATCATTTAAATTGAATTTGTTGATTTGTTTTTTTAAATATCTCATGAGATGGGAGAACAATTAGACAGCTCGCAATGGCTAAGCGAGACAGAGGAAAATAATGATATAAGCACAACCTGGGAAAAACAGGGTTCTGGGATACAGAGATGGAGCCATGGTTGGAATGTGGAAAAGGGGGGAATAATATTAAGATGCTTGGCTGTCTTTTGAATCTTGGTTTTCCTTGCATTATATTATAAAATAGACACTGGAGGGGGAGAGAAAGGAATAGTGAAAAGCATCACCATAGAAAGCTTGTTAAGTCCGTCTTCTGCCTATAACTGACTGGAATACCTAAAATGGGACTACAACATGCCCATTGAAGGAGGCTTCCTGCGGAGCCTCTGCAATACATAAGACTATAGGTGGAAGCCTGAACCACATCCAGATCTCCAGAGGACAAGCAGACCAACCTGGAGTGGCTAGAAGAACAGAAGATACTTCTTGAAAGAAAGACCTACAAGAAAAAAATATAAAACAACATAGGCAGACCAACTGTTACTACAAGAACAAGCAACTTGCTTGCCCAGGAAACATCAAGGCAAGTGGTTGGGTCCCCTCAGTGCAAACCCCCTTCCAAGACTAAGACTCAGTGGGAATACACACTGTGATTGGTGACCATGCTCGACACCGATAAAGGGAAATGAGGGAAAAAACAGCAATGAAGCGGTGAGCTAAGCCCTACAATGTTCAATAGACTTCTGTGAACCCGGATGGATGAAGACCTGGTTGGCCAGCAGTGTGGCAAGACCTGGGGACTCTTGGGCCCAGATTCAGTGACATAGCCACAGTGGACTAGAGTGAAGAGTGAAGCGTCTAGCTGATAAGAAGAGAGGGCATATGCATAAGAACACCCACACTTGCAGATAATACCCACTTATCCAGGCTTCAGTGACTGGATGATCAGAGCTCAACCAGAAGTAAAAAGAAGAGGGAGAAAAAGAAAGTATTCTCATACAATTTGATGAACTTGACCAACACCTCTGGAAGCAATAGCTCAAAAGAGGGAACAAGTCCTTACAGCAAGAATCATTCCCACCCCCTCCACACACAGAGTAGACAGGGATGGGCAACTTGGACATTGGCTACCCAAAATGGGGGGTGCGGGGGACTACAAAGGCAAGAAGTGACTGGCTTACAAGCTTTCAAGAGTGAACCTAGATCCAAAGGGCCTGGAGGAAGGTAAGAATCTCCAGTGAGTAGTATTCAGTCTGTCAAGGCAGGGCTGATGCAATGAAATGCAGATGGGTCTCTTGTGATACAGTAGTGAATAATTGTTATCATGACTGATTGTGAGGGTCGGAAATGTAAAGGTAGACGTTTTATAGCAAGGAAGGGAGTGATTAACTTTTCAGTCTAGGAGCGGAGGTCCCCAGGACCATCAAGGGAGAAGAGCAGAGAGCGGGACCCTACCCAGAGAAGCAGGGATGCCTGAAATGGAGCCAGAGATGATGACATGGTGCGATGGAGCAGCTGGAGACTTTAGATCCAGAGAGAGAGAGCGACTGTGTGCTGAAGACCTGAGAGGTACGGGGGAAGGATTGCATGGAGGGGATTGTAACCATGGCAATGAGACAATATACGATAGAATGAATGTAAAACTAATGTTATCCCATGTAAACTATCACATAATTCACAATAAAACATTTAAGGAAAAAAAAAATATATATATCTTATGAAGAAACAACCTAAATTAATTTTATCGTCAGGAGAAAAATATCAAAAACAAAATAGATGTCAAGGAGGGAGTGCAAAAATTTTAAATGATCAAAAACCATAATTTAAAGAAAAATCCTAAATTTATTTTTTATTCTAAATACAAATGTACTCGCTACAGGAAAATTTTCCATAGTAAAATTTGCTTACTTCCTTTCTCTCTCTCTCTCCATCTTTTTTTTTGGTTTTGAATAAATGCTTACCTTGATACAGGTTAGTAAAAAAGTATAATATATTTTCACTGAAACAAATATTTGCACAGAAATTTCACTTACTTTGGTTGGGAGATTGCTTTGTCGGGGTTTCTGTATTAAGATGTGGACTTGAAGAAGTATAAAGAACTCCCTTATTGTTATTCTCCCATCCTTAAGTTTCTGAGGAAAGAAAAAAGTACTTGACCACACAAAGATGAGCTCATTTTGACTATAACCACCTCATTTGTTTTTAAATAGCTTAAAAGTACTTTTCATATATTTATACAAGTATATTTCTTATACTTTAGACTATACATAACAAGATTTTATCTAAGATTCTTTCTTCAGTTTTTTAACAGTGTTGTTGTTGTTGTAAAGTGCCATGGAGTCAGTTCCGACCCATAGCAACCCTGAACATGGTTTCTGAGGCTGTAAATTTTTTTATGGGAGCAGAAAGCCTTATCTTTCTTCTGAAGAGCAGCTGGTAGTTTTGAACTGCTGCCCTTGCAGTTTGCAGCCCGATTCGTAACAACTATGCTACCAGAGCTCCTATTCAGTGACAGTAGGGCTAGGAAAAATTATAAGTCTTTTAATCTACTTTATGGAGTCATGGTGTGGCACTGTGAATTACTGTGCTGGGCTGCGAAGTCCGTCTGAACCACAAGGTTGGTGGTTCAAGCTCATCAGCTGCTCCTCAGAAACCTTACATAGGGTTGCTATGGGTCAGAACTGACTCGACAGCACTTAACAACAACAACAATCTACTTCATGGAGTCCTAGTGTGGCACTGTGGGATAAAGCACTGGACTGCAAGGTTGATTTGAACCTTGTTTAAAGGTTCAAACTCATCAGCTGCTTCTTGGACACCCCATACTGGGTTGCTATGTGTTGGAACCAACTCAACAGCACTTACCAACAACAAAAAAGAATATTAGTCTTCTGTATATTTGAAATATCTTACTAGAAAAAAAATTTAAAACAAGATAATAAGTTGTACAAGAAATAATAAATATTTTTTATATACCTCTCTCAAACTCTCTTCACAAATTGTGTCTCTGAGAAACTGTGATTCCTTTTGACTATTGCGATGTGCTAGAAATAAAGCAAAATTAGGCAATGAACAGTCAAAACTAAATTGTAAACTTAATTTTAGTTATCTTTCAGATTTACATGCAGTTCAGGCTCCTGAAGCCATCTACCAGGATCTTTCTGGGAAGGTAATTTAGCATAGCAAAGTATATCCCAGTTCTGAGGCACTATTGAATTTTTCTAATGCTTTTCTAACTATTAGCCTCTGAAATAAATCACTTGATTTCTCTATTGTACATTACTTCTCAATTTGTTAAAGTAACCAAGAATTAAAAATAAAGGGATCAAATTGACAACAGCAACTTGAAAGATTAGATAGTTACCTTAGGGAGTTTCAAGTTTATATTAATGGAAAAGAACAATTCAGTAAAGGAGGGTGAGAATGGTTGTACAGTTCAGTGAATAAAATAAATTATCTCTGAATTATGCATGTAAAATCATTTAATTGGTTTATGTTCTGCTATGTAGTAGGTTAAAAAATAAAAAAAAGTTACTTTATTTATCAATTATTTATAACTCCCCAAAACCCTTATATTACAAATACTTCCTGAACTGAAAAACAACTATTATTTGTCATATAAGCAAATTATTGCTATTAATTAGCCTTTACAAAGATCTTACTACTAAAGTCCAGAGAAGTCCCATCAGTCTTGACTGAATCCAGAGAGCTGCTGCAACTAGAAGGAGTCCTGTTCAGGCTTTTCATTAATACACTGTTGGCATTTTTATCTACACCCTCTTCAGTATGGTGGTCAAATATCTGAAATTATTAATTAAGGAATAACATAAGCATAAAATCATGCATCTATACACTTCTAATGATTAAATGTTTGTTGAACACTCACAGAAATACTACTTTTAGCATTAAATTTAGCTATAATTCATAGGAAACATCTTAGTAAAGAATTAGAATATGTAACAAGCAATTTAAGCCCTTAATTTTATTTAAAACAAAAGTAATATTTAGAAATATCTTTATGCATTATATTGTATAAGTAAATTGCTTTTCAGATAAATTCAAGTTATAACCAGATGTTATGAACTACCAAATGGTGACCTATTCAATATGTGTGGCACTGTAGGAAAAGCACTGAACAGCTAACTATAAGATGAGAAGTTCTAATTCGATAACCTCACTCCTCCAAAAACGTATACAGGGTCACTATGCATTGGATCTAACCTAAGGGAACTTAACAAAAGCAGGGTCAAGGGAACCATACTGCACAAAACTAGACTACCATTTATGTAGAATATTAACTGTTTATGATATCCCTAGCAGAAGGTAGAGAAGAAATTTATTTTCAGGCTTTAGTCTTTCCATCCCAGGTTGAACAAGATTCCTTTGGCTGAAGTATAAAAGGTCACATGATGCTACTTTTTATCATTTTATCTACTTGATTTCACAACCTTAAAAGCCATTCTTATCTATCTCCTTATGTATGTTTTTTTAGAACAACACATTCTAAATGCTAGAATGTAAGCTTATAAATCTGTGCATTTCTGTTGATGCATTCCTAGCACCTAAAATAGTGCCTGGGACATAGCAGATACTCAATATTTATTGAATAAATAGAATATTAATTTTCATAGAATCTATTAAATTCATTTACATTACTTTCTCAAAGCTTCATAAACTATTTCCTACTGGTCCTATTTTATAGAACCACTACAAATATTTCCTTAAGACTTCATCTTAGAGACCTACTAAAACCATCTTCTAAGATTTTAACAGGGTTTAAAGTTTGCTTTCTATTTTTCATGACCCTCTGAAGCTTTCTAAGCTTTATTTTTCCACTTTTAAATCTTCAGTTTGAGTGTCAGGTTTCTTTTTCCCTAAGTTACCTAAATTCGTGTTACTCAACTTAAAAGAAGAAAAAAAATCTACGCTCTTTTAATACAAAATTTCAGTTATTTCACTTTGCGATACTGAGGTTGACATAGGTGTTTGTTCCCCCACCCACTAAAGAAAAGGCCTCTTTCTTTTTTAACCAAGAAAATTCAGTGAAGTTTTTCTTCATATAGTTCATGTAATGGAAAGGTATCCTACTTGCTACATCTATAAAACACTGAAAATGACTTTTCAAATTACATATACCCTGCCTGGAGATTTTCATATGCAAAGCCACCCAAGAATCACTGACAAATCACCAGAGGTGACACAATATTAAGAATCATACACTTACAATGGCTATTTGTCACTATCACTGTTTTAAAATTTAGATATTAATCAATTAATTTCTAAAGGTTCAATGTAGGAATATTTATCTAGCTTTTTAATGGAAATAATCAATTCCTAACTAAAATTAAAAACATTTCTTGGTTCAAGACAAAGCTTACCTGCTGATCTTGTGCAGCATCTTTAAACCTATTCTCATTTTTCCTGAATTTTTTCTCATTCTGAATATCATCATCTTCTTCTTGTACCCAAGTTCTTTTTTGATTAATGCAGGTTTCTTCTATTTTATTTTCAGATGGTGACATCGTACATTGGTATGCTTCAATTAAAATACTTCCCTCAGTTTCTATGCTAACTGAACCTGATGAATTAATGTCAGGATATATAGGAAGATTTTCTTCATTTATATATTGAGATGGACTTAAGTTCACTTCAGCAGCAGCAAACCCAATGACTGAGTCTTTGCCAAAGACTGGTTCAGTTTCTAAGTGATTTAAATCTTTTGTGTCGGCTGGAATCTGCTCCAGATTATCCATACCAGTGACACTATAATTTATTTTATTTGGCAATCTGGGCAAAAAGATTCCCAAAGAGCATTTCTTGATTTTAGTTTTATCTTTTACAACTGTCATTAATGATACAGACTTGTCAGCTCCATTTTGAGAATTTTTATTTTCTTCATTTCTATCATCTTTAGGATTGTTGGACACTATGTCAATATTACATTGGTCTTTTGTTTTCACTATATTCATATCACTGGGTGCCGTATTTGCTAAATCAAGTAATTGTTCTGGAGGAGGTGATATATGAACAATTTGAAAATCTAAAAAATCTTCAGTTTTTCCATTTCTGTTATTCAAATTTGATTTGATAATACTAACACTAGGCACTGTAGGAACCTCTGATGTAATCACAGTATCTGATGGTTTGTTGAGACTGGCATGAGTTTGACTGACTTGCTTAAGTAAGTCTGAGTTACTGTGGAAATCTTTACCTGTATGACATTTAACTGTTTGTAAATTTTCCTTCAATTCTTCTTCATAAGCTGTAATAAATGGTTTCTCATTGTTAAGCCTTGTGGACTCATTTTCATATGTGGGTATACAAGAATTTCCTGTGGCAATATTTAAATTCTTATATCCAAGTTTAGAAAGTATTGTTTCATCTTTATTGATAATATTTTGTCCTTCTTGAGGTAATAAAAGTAGATGAGTTGATAGATTAGGCTGAGATGCAACACAAACATCAACAAAGGTCTCTTTTAAACTATGTTCTGTATTATCAACAAGGTCTTCCATTGGCTCATTTGGAAGCTTAAAAGATACTCGATTTGAATTAAATTTAAGCCTCTCCCCCAGATCTTTACTACCTACTAAGGTTTCATTAGTTAATAGGTTTGGGGGATCCTTAGCCAGTTCCTCGTGATCTTTGAGTAGACAAAGATAGTCTAACTGTACTTTGGCATTGGTTTGAGTAACTTCTGCCTTCTTTATCAAAGGACAACAATCAGAGATAGGCAGTTTCTCAGAATTCAAGTAGTGTTCAGCTGCCAAATCATTTGCATATGCTAGTTCATTTTGCACCGGGTAATTACTGGTTTTCTCGTCTTTATCACACAAAGACATGCTACCCTCTTCCATATTATCAACACAGGAAATTACATTTGGTAAACAGGAATAATTATTACTGGATCCACAAGTAACAGTTAAATGACTGCGTACAGAATCCGTATTAATTCTATCTGTCTTTTTTAAGTGACAGCTTTCAGTTTTGGCTTTTCCCAATGTGTAGGCCCAATCTACAACCTCCTCCGTGATCTTTTTATCTGCCAAAGTGCTATGGAATTTGATGGTTTCTATCTCGCCTTGATCCCCAGACAATGTGCTATTCGGAACAAACGGTACCACATGATGCTGTTCAGTGTGAGGAATAATTTTGTTTTCAATGGCTGGTGCCTGCTTTATAGTAATTTCTTTAACAGTGCTGTCATCCTTTGGAAAAGTAACACTTAAATTTTTTCCTTTTGTTACTCCAAATTTAGGGCACTCTAAAGGTATTTTATCCATGACTTGACAATCTATATAAACAGTGTGGGACCTGGTGACTTCTAGATCATTATGATCGTCTATAAACATGACAGTCTTATCAATAGGCCTCGTAGTTACTACCTCTGGTAAAACAGTTTTACATTCTAAAGCAATTGTGTGACTTCTAGTGATTTCCATGTCATCCTGTCTATTTGTATACAAAGCAGTTTTTAAAGTTTCTGCCAGAGGCATCAAATGAGAGTCCTCTTGATCTTCTAAGACACTTTTATTTTTTATTTTCACCGTACAACTGTGAGTGATATCCATGTCATTTTTACCAATCTCTGAAATTGCAATAGTCTTGTCATTTTTGAGTCTGAGGCTTTTCCTTCGCATATTCTTATCTGATTGAGTGTCATTCAGAAATCCAGGCTTTTGCATATCTTTATCATTTTTCCAGGTTGTTGATTTAGACGTCTCTGGTGTAGTATTGTAGGATAAGCACTCGACTGCTAGGTCAGTTTGAAGCACAGTCCTCTCCTTTGCTTGGTAGTCAATGAAAACAGTATGGGATTCTGTCATTTCTAGATCATTGTGATGATCTACAAACATGACAGTTTTGTCCACAGGACTAACAGTTACTTCCTCGGGTAAGACAGTTTTACATTCTAAGGCAGTTGTGTGACTTCTAGTGATCTCCATGTCATCCTGTCCACATGTATACAAAAGAGTTTTAGAAGTTTCTGCCAAAGGCACCAAATGGGAATGTTTGCCTAATAAAGGTCTATGATTGATTTCTATGGTATAACTTTTGGTGATATCCATATCATTCTCATTATTCTCTGAAAATACAATAGTCTTATCCATTTTTAATGCACCAACACTTTCCCTTCCACAATTTTTGACATTTTGCTTTTCATTCAGAAATCCAGGTTTCTGAACAATTTTGTCCACCAATACTTCTGTATCATTAGGTACAAATACCCCAGTTTTTTCTATAGGATTTATATCATATTTTTCATCTTTTACAGCCATCTGTCTGCTTACTGTTGTTAGCTGACTGCTAGTGTGTTGTAAATTAGTTTTACCAAGTTCTTGTACTTCAGAAGGATCAAATCCAATGACAACAGTATGACTTTTGGTTAAATCCATAGTTTGTTCCTCCACTGAACAACCAATCATCTTGTCATCAGAACAGTCACGTGTGGTACTGCTTAAATTTTTTCTCAGTGACTCAGGCAGCTTAGAATTCTCTCCTGCTACAGACAGCACTGTTTGGCTATTAACAATTGTATTATCATTTTTCACAAGCACTTGTTTTTCTGATGAAAATAAAGGTTTTGTGGTAGAAAACAAAGATTGCTCACATGATATTATATTTGTATTATTTCCCAGTTCTACTTGCTTATTGAGATCTCTACCTGAGGAGATTATATTATGGGCTTTTGCTTTGTTCTGGTTACAACCAAGTGATTGAAGAAAATCTTTATCAAGATGCGATGAAATCTTCAAAACCTGATCTTTTTCTTTGCTCCAGGTTAAGACGTTTCCAGATTCTGCATTTGGTTGAGGGGATTGTTCAATGCAATTTTTATTCATTTTTTCCCATTCACCTGATGGTTTTTTGCTGGCAGAGTAAGATTTACTGGTACTCTTAGGCGCTAGATTATAAAATGCAAGAGGAGTTTGATTTCCTAAGCTACTCGTGTGATATTTAGTCAAATCCATATCTTCATCTGTGAACAGTTTAGTCCTTCTGTCAGTCAATGAAACAGATAAAGCATCTGCTAGACTTTGATGTAATCTTTCCTTAGATACATGAGGAACCGAGCTACAATTTACATTCATTTTCCTATCTTCTGCTACAGCTGTTTGATTTGGGACTATCATTACTTTTTCAGATATTGGTACAGCTGCTATCTGTACATTTGTCTCATCTTGTTTAAAAATTTGATTATCTATAGCAACTGTGTGACTTTTGGTAATATCCATGTTATCCTCTTCTAAACACAAAGTTTTTCCTACAAGAGACATGGTATCTGAATTGGCACATATATTAGAATAATTACTATCATGCTTTAGCAAATTTTTCTCTTCATTCATACTTGAGACACACTTAGTCAATTCCATGGCATCACTACAACTAGAATAAAAAACTGTTTTATAATCTTGAACAGTTGAACTAGAACATACAGATTTTGAGATCACAGCCAAATTTTTAACATCTTGGTCACAGGTCTGTGTGACTATGTGAGTTTCAGTTCCCAGAATATGACTTCTGGTCATTTGTATTTCATTAGTAGGGCCTAAGGTTGAGTCTTGAAATACAGCATTCAGTTTATTCTTAAAGATTTTCTTCTTTCCTGGAGATTTAGCTCCATCGTCTGTTATAACATCCATCCTGACATTTTGAGTTTGGTTTTTTATTTCAGACCAATCATCTACTGATGGTAAAATCTGTGTAGTGCGATTAATTGTCAAATCCATAAAATCACTGCCACAAATTGTAATATCATCACCTTTAACTTCCTTTAAGCTGGTCTCATTGCATATAGGAACCAAAGCCTGAATACTGGCTGTATGACACTGGGTTATATTCATCCTATCATCTTGTTCACTAAAGATTCTAGTCCTATTACCATTATTCTCATCTATATTAGAAGACACATGCATTTGATGATGTATAGAAGAGGCATTATCTGATTGTTTGGCATGAGCAGATAGCTCACAATTTTCCTTATCAGATTCTTCAGAAAGAGAAGCATTAGATTTTTCCATTTTCAATCTTTTTATAAAGTCACTGAAATTTATTTTCTTTTCTGAAGAAATATTTTGATCCATAGAAACACTTAATTCTTTTCTCATTCTTGAATCTTCAGTGTAGAGCTTTAAACTAGCCAGAAATGATTTGGTATCTATCTTGGTGGATTTTTCACTTTGAGTACATTCTAAAAGGCCTTTGGTAATCATCACGGTGTGACTTGCTGTCAAGTCCATCTGATTTTCATCTGAAGAGATAATTGTCTGGCCATTTCCATGTTTCCTTTCTTGGCTGTGTTCTGTAATTGAAAACTATAATAAAAGCAAATGATAAGAGATCAAATCAAATGCAAACATATTTTTAGAGATATTATACAACATATAAACAATGCTCAGTGATAATTTCATGAAACACTGGTTTATTTGGCTCAGTGGTATGGTATATAAGAAGTAATTTGTTACTAATGACTTTTCTAATGTTTGTGAATAATTTACTTTTTATTGTTTTTAGACAAATTAAAAATTCAAGATTAGTTACACACTCAAAAATGAAACAAAAAACACTGATAATGTCAAATATAATCATGATGAAAATTCTTTATATTAGACTCTATGTTCTTGGGAATTGTGTTCTCTTTTAGTCTTAATGCAGTGGTTTTATTTGTAAGAATATAGCCTAATCCTACGCTATTCAAAATGTGGTCTGTGGAGCAGTACAATAGAATTATTTAGGACATTATTAGAAATACAGAATCTTAGGACCTATACTAGATCTACTGGTATGAATCTGTATTTTAACAAAATCTTTTGATGATTTATATGCTCATAAAAGTTTGAGAAGTCCTGATATAATTAATACATCCTCATATGATCGAAACTGGTAGTGATTTAACTATTTTCAGTTAACAAGTAAGGTGAGAAGTTCTTCCAGTCTATGGCAGTCTATTTTGTAGTCATCCCTAAGTCATGCTATTAAACTTTGTTGATTTAAAAAAAAAAAAAGTTTTAACTCTCCAGAGAGGTTAAAATATGAATGCATTTACATGAACACTTACTTCTCTCTGTTGAATATGAATGGGAGCACAAAGTAAAGTATTCATCCCTATTGAGAAAAAAACCAAAACATTGTGATGAATAACTTAAACATATGAGGGGCCTGATTTTTCTTAGATTAGATTAATCAGTTATAGGTATTTACTGAAGTTTAACAGGCACTTAACAACAATAACAAGCTGTTCATGAGAACTTACTGATATATAATCATTAAGACTTTTAATGGTCTGTTCTAGTGCCCGAGTGATCCTCTGTATGATTAAAAATCTTTTTAGAATGTAAAAGGCTTTACAGACTATGACTGGTAGAAATTTTAGACTTTTTGTTTCCTATTTGGTTTATTCATTTTTATTTCCTGGAAAGTAGAGGTTACATGGTAAAGAATGTTGAGTGATGAGACTGAAAGGGAAAGATTTTGAAGGGCCTTTTATTCCACGTTAAGGAATTTAGACATTCCTATGAAAATATGCATTTTATAAAAATAATTACAGAGAAAAGAATAAAGTAAATTCAAAAGAAGACAGCCAGTGAGGAAGTTACTACAATAATTCACATATAACATACTGAGAGTGTAGATTAAGGCAGAAGACAATGAGAATGGAATAAGGGATTAGTTAGACTCAAATATTTACCGTTGAAATATAAAGGTATAGATAGTAAAGTGGATCTTGGAAATATGGTAGGAATTGAAGATCCATACTAAAACAGGAAATACATTTAAAAAACACATTTAAAAGCCAATACTGAAAATATTTTAAAGAGTTTATGGCAACTTCAAATGTAAAGGATGAAATAATTATAGATTTTTTAAATAAAAGGCTAATTTACATATCAGTCTCCCATTCATTGATTATTTTTAATAAAGATTGATTCAGAACTTATTACAGGTCAAAAACTTAACAAAGGCACAAAAAAGAACATGACAAAAACTGCTTGGCCTCAAAGAGCTCCTAGTTTAATAAAAGAGTGTGATAGTTAAGGCTTTCTGTCAATTTGGCTGGGCTTGGATTCAAAATGTAGTAATCCCCCATAATGAGATCTAATATAATGTAATCACAACTGTGATATGATCTGATGCGATCAGACCTGATCTGATGTAATTTTCCTATGTATTGTAAATCCTCACTTCTATGATATTAATGCTCCAGAAGCATCTACATGATGAGGTTGTATCTTGAGTCAATCTCTTTTGAGATAGAAAACAGATTAAACAGGCAAGCAGTGCTCAGAGGGACCTACTACTACACCAAGAAAGGAAGAGCTGAGAATGGAGTGAATCCTTTGGACCTGAGGTCCCTGCACTGTGAAGCTCCTAGATCCAAGAAAAGATTGGTGCCAAGATACATGGAAATCTCCAAGGAATGTTGGACCTGCAAATGCTGAAAGGAAACAAGGACCTTTCTACAGAGTCAACAAAAACAGAAAGCCTTTCCCTAGGGCCAGCACTCTTAATTTGTATTTCTAGCGTCTTAAACTGTAAGAGAAAAATTTTGTTTCTTAAAGTAAAAATACCTGTGGTATTTCTACTGTAGCAGCACTAAGTAACTAAGAAAGCCAGAAGTAAATACCTAAAATAAACTGTCTTAAGTTCTGTAATAGGCTGAAGAATTAAAGGCACATTATGGAAGCACAGAACAGAGTGTCTAACTGCTTGGTTTTGTCAGAGAGGGCTCCATTCTATGTCAGTGCTACTTAAAGTACAGGGTAAGTCCAGAAGTACTGCTACAAAATCAAAGGAAACCTTTATTAAACAAAAATTAGCAAACTGTGAATCTACTGTTTCTAGACACATTCATTCTCCATCAAGGTCTATATACTTCTGAAGGTGGTGTTCCATCTCTCTAATAGTTCTCTTAAAAATTCTGCACCTTCAATTTATACCACGTCAAAATAGCAGTTTTTGCCATCTTCGAGGGACTCAAATCATGTTCCTATTAAATGTTCTTTGAGTTTTGAGAAAAAAGTCTGAAGGGGCAGATTAAGGCTGTAAGGAAGATAGGGTAAGGTTTCCCATTGAAATTCTTATACGAAGGCTTACAACTGTTGTACAATGAATGTCTTGATGGGGAAAAAAATTCCACTCTCACCAACGGTAGTTTTCAATTTTATTAAAACTTCTTCCTAATTATCCCTTGATTATCCTGTGTCCTATAAGACAATTTATTAAGATTACCCTTTCAGAATTCTAAAACACTGTCATCATAACCTTCTGACCTGACCTCTCTATCTTGGACTCATTTTTGCAGTCTTCCTGACTTTTCTTAAAAAGTTTGACCACATAAAAACTGTTGCTTTATGTGGGACAGCATTCCCATAAACTTGTTTCAAAGAGTTAATGATTTGGTAAGATGTCCACTAGGGCTCTGTTAAAAATTTTATATTTCTCCTGACCTCAAAATCATTTTTTTTCATGGCATAAAGAGTATCCTTATTTATTTTTCTTAAGGCACTCTAATGGTGCTGTGAGTTAATGCACTGAACTGCAAAAGTTGGTTTGAACTGCAAGGTTAATGGTTCAAGATCACCGGTTGCTCCTCGGAAAAACTATACAGGGTTGCTATGGATAGGAACCGATTCGAAGGCACCTAATAACAAAAACAACAAGACTAAGACAAGGGTATTACTGAGAGAACTTGCCTGCAGCCATCCAATGATCACAGAGACATGCTTAAACACATTTTGTTTGGAATAAATTGTAACTCTAGTAGCAAAACTTTTGACTTCCTCTCTCCTCACATGATGCCGGTTTGTGAACTGCTTGTTAACAATTCATAAAATAAGAAGCTTACGGCAAGTATAAGCAGGTATACTTCCTGCATTAAGAAAGCCTTACTAAGAAAAAAAAAAAAAAGTCAACTAAACAGTAGCTTACATGTCACAGTTGATTTACACATACATGTTCTAACACAAGGTCCTATTCTGCAATGAATTGCATTCATTTGTGGATGGGCTACTTTGAACAGCACTGAAGTACGGTCTTGAAAAATGAGAAGATTGCTAAGCATATTAGAAAAAGAAGAACACTTCATAGAGGTGAAAATGAGTCTACAATGGGAACTGAAATTAGCACATTATGGACTAGAACATAATGTATTATAAAAGGATTTCCAAGTCTGTGTCACTGAACAATTATAAACTGGGAAATATAAGATTTAGAAATATATATAATAGATTAGAAGAGTTGTTGTTGTTAAATGATGTCAAGTCGATTCCAATTCATAGTGACCCTGCATAGGATTTTCTGGGGTTATAAATCTTTTGAGGGAGCAGAAAACCTCATCTTTCTCCCACAATTAGAAGGGTAAGAGACAATATATAACAAGCAGTCCAAGAAAAAATAATGAAGACTTGAATTAAAACAGTGGCAGAAAAAAACAGAGAATAGGTATCAGATTTGCAAGATATTCCAAAGGCAGAATAGACTGAAAGTAGATTCAAATGGATGTGGAGAGTGAAGGAAAAACGAAAAATATTCCTTGATTCCTGACTTGGGTGAATGAATAAGTACGTGGGAGTCTAAGGCAAGGAAAAAAAGAAAAACCGGTTTGAAAGAAATAATAGTAAATTTCTGAAATTCTAAATTGAAGACTTTGTGTAAAAAATAAAGGTTTTTTACATGACTAATCAAGGAATCTGATGAAAGAAAAAGTGTATGGCATAAAAGATAATCTGATTCATACTTACCAGTAATCTCACAGTGATTATCTTCTGGGTTTTTACTCCTAAAATTTAAAAATATTTTCATAATGTATCTGTTGTTGTTAGTTGCTATTGTACTGATTCAGACTCACAGCCACCCTATGTTTGCAAAATACAACTGATCCATAGGGGTTTTAAAGCTGTAACCTTTTGGAAGCAGATCTCCAAACCCAACTTTCAAGGCATCTCTGGGTGGGTTTAAACTGTTCATCTTTAGGCTAGTAGCCAAGCACTTAACCATCCATGCCACCCAGGCATTTCTAATAATGTATGTTGTTATTTCAGTGATGTCAAGTCAGTTCTGACTCATAGCGACCCTGAATAGGGTTTCACAGGAGCAGCTGGTGTGTTTGAACCAACGACCTGTGGTTAGCAGTCCAGTGCTTACCCTACAGTGCCACCCCAGGACTCTTGATAATGTATACATCAAATAATTAATAAGAATCACAGTATCTGACTAAATAAATGCTGGCACAGACATATAATAGACTGAGACAGACCTATATATAATGACATAGGAAGTACCACAAAACATATTTTTGAGTAATTTTTTGTATGGCTTAAAAAAAACTTACTAAATATAAACATTACTTGGATATATAAAGAAAATTTCTACAAGGACACTCAAATTATCAATAGTGGTTATCTGTGGGTAGTGGGTTACCTGAGGAACAGGGAGATTTTTACTTTATACCCTCTTTACTTTTTTGAAAACATGAATACTATTACTTTGATTTCTTTTCTTTACAATTTTAATTTAAAAAAATTGAAAGGCAATATATCCATGTGATTCTAAATGAATAAATTACAAAAGGTTCCCTTCCAACATGTATCCCTTATCCCGCTTCCAGTTCCCTTCACGATAGGTAATCAATTGTACTAGTTTTTTGTGATCCTTTCAGAGATATTTCAAGCATATATAAGTCAATATATTTACATGTGTCTTGTATATATGTATCAATATATAAAAACATATGTATCAATATATAAAAAAACACATACACACACTTTGTTTTTCATCTTGCCTTTTATCCTAAATAATATGGTTTATAAATTTTTCTATATTAAGAGCATTCTTAACCCTACCCCCAGAAGCATAATAGTAAATTACATGGAAACTTTGTAATTTATTTAACCAGTCTCTTAGTGATTGGTCTTTCAAATCTTTTGCTATTACAGCGAAAAATGTCACAGTGAATAACAAACATCACATTCATTACAAACATTATATTACAAGAATATTGATGAAATAAATTCCCAGACATAAATTTGCTGAGTCAAAAGGCATGTACAATTAAAATTTTGAACAATACGGCAAAATTGCCTTCTGCAGAGATTATCTTTTTACCTATATCTTTAACTTATTAAACAAAAAATTGTATCTCAATATACTTTGACCTCTGGTAGCCTAGTGGTTACGAATCAGGCTGCAAACCACAAGGTCAGCAGTTCGAAACTACCAGCTGTTCAGCCTCGGAAACCCTGTACAGGGTCGCTATGAGTCGGAACCGACTCCATGGCACATAACAACAACAACAACAACATACTTTTAATTTATATTTTTCTTATGATGAAGAACAGCATTTTTTATATGTTCAAGAGTTAATGGTATTTGTTTCTCTAAATATTATCAGAAAGATTAAGAAAAATCTGAAGGCTTGGTATTTGTTTTATGTATTTTAAGGATTTATATACAGGAGCAGTATTCCATTACTCTATTAAAGCTAAAAGTTATACAATGTACCTATTTATCAGATAAAGCAGTATATTAAAATCTTCTAAGAATTTATTTTTTCAATTAACCCTAAATATTCCATGAAAAGGAGTATTTAATACTTCACTCATTTAATAAGAATAAGTGGTGGTGGTGGTGTGCCGTGGAGTCAGTTCCGACTCATAGCAACTCTGCATAGGGTTTCCAAGGCTGCAAATCTTTACAGAAGCAGAAAGCCTCATCTTTCTCCTGCGGAACTGCTGGTAGTTTCGAACTACAGCCCGATTAGTAACCACTACGCTTTTAGAGCTCCTGATAAGAATAAATAACTTCATTTATATAATTTGAACCAAATTACGTTACTTACTGAATAGGCAGAACATTTTCTCCTGCTTCTTTTCCTATAAAAAAAAAATTTGTTCATGGATAATTTGATAAAGCATTAGAAAAAATTATATAAGGACATTAGCAACAATAAAAGAATTACGATACACCCGACTTCCAACCTCTCTGGCTCAAGTTATACAAAAAGACAAATGAGTTATATCAATTATTTGGTTAGATGATCACAGTAAAAATTTTAAAGCAAGTAGATTTAGCAAGAATTGCACTGACATATTTACCTGAATTTTCTGACTTTCCCAATATTTTCATCTGAGGCTCTGCCTGAAATATCCTAAAACAGAAAATAAAGATTACTTAAAATCTGCAATTTTTAATTATAAACTTTGCTGTATCATATAACAAAAATAGGGACACTAAGAACCACGTGATAGATGTCACACCTATCAAATATCCTCATAATCTAGCACATAGGACCCTCTATAGAAAGATTTCTGTTCATGAAACAGACCTCGTCCTAATTTCAATTTAGAGTTCAAATAATTTAGGAGTTTACCTCACAAAAAGACAATCTGAGGCAGCCTGTGGTATACAGAAAATGAAATTTGAATAAGTCAATATTAAGTAGACATACTGACTTAATGGCAGCTAAAAAGAGTCTTAAGAGTCCTGGTGTGGCATGCACTGTAGGATAACCCCAAGGTCAGTAGTTCCAACTGACCAGCTACTCCTCAGAAACCCTATGCAGGGTTACTATGAGTCAGAACCAACTGGACAGCACTTAACAACAATAAAAAGCTGTTTATCAAAAAACAGCTATCCTAAAATGACACCAGAGCCCCATCCCATATAGGAATGTCTTGCAAACAGCTGGTTCAGGAAAACCCAACCCATTTAATGATGAGTAAAAAGCTATGAGTCTACTTAACAACAACAACAAAAAGCAAAGAAGTCATGGGAACAAAAGCAGTTAAGTGCTCAGCTACTAAATGAAAGGTTGGCAGTTCAAATCTACCCAGAGATTCCACAGGACAAAGGCTTGTTAATCTGCTCATGTAGAAACATTATGGGGCAACTGTACTCTGTTAATACGTGTTCTTATGAGCTGGAATTAATCTGATGGCATACAACATAGAAAAGCCCAAAATATAAAGATGCCATGATACAAAAAAGAATATGCATAGGAAAGCTGGACAATGAATAAGGAAAACCAAAGAAAGAACTGATGCATCTGAATTATGGTGTTGGCAAAGAATACTGAAAGTACCATAGACTAACCAGTGTGGCGCTACAGAATAAGCACTGGACTCCGAACCACAAGATCAGTGGTTTAAACCCACCAGTTACTCCTCTAAAACCCTACACAGGGTCTTTACACATCAGAACGAACTCAATAGTACTTAGCAACAACAACATAAGAATACCAGAAGTACAAAAAAAAGGAAGTACAGCCAGAATGCTCCTACTGTAAGAAAGGACACTGAGACTCTTCTGGATATGAATAGTTTGGATATGGAAGGAGGGACCAGTTCCTGGTAAAGGACATCATGCTTTGTATAGCCAAGGATCAGTGAAAAAGAGGAAGACCCTAAGTGAGATACATTGATACAGTGGCTGCAGCAATGGGCTCAAACACAGTAACAATTGTAAGATGGTGCAGGTTCAGGAAGTGTTTCATCCTGTCTTGTATATATATGATCTCTTTGAGTCAGAACCGACTCGGAGGCACTTAACATTTAGCTAATTGAGATAGAATTATTTGAGACACAAGTTACTTACTACCAACATAGTTGGTTTGACGCACACAAAAAAAAGCATTACTTGTAACATCTTTATTTTTCCTTTCAACTTACTTTATAGTATCTGCAAAGCTGACTCGACGAGAGCTTTTCCTATTTTTCAGAACAATGGATTCCTACGGGCAAAGAATATATGGCATGATTCTTAGTGACACCACTGTGAATTAGATCTGCAGTGTACCAACTATGAACAGAGATCAGGTCTTATTTAATTCTGAATTAATTTGGTATATGATTCTTAAAAATATCCCAATGTAGAAGAACTTAGTTAATACATGTATGATTTCCAGAGAGATAATAAACATAATATACATCTAAGAAAAGTGATTACTCTTACTTTTTCTCACTCCTAAATGAATGGTTATTTTGCTACAGAAAAGCAAAACTGAAGACACAGCAAGTGATATGTTGCCTATTATCTTTATTTTCTCTCCCCACCTTTCTCTCACATAGCTATTAAACAGAAAAATAAAAGAGAACAAAAAACAAATTTCAGTATTTTACAGGAATATTACAGGATTAATTCTGAATATCTGAATACACTTATTATAATAAATAATCAAGAAGAGGTATTCCCTCTGTATATAGCAATATGTGTGGTTAAGACCCTAGCAGACACTGTAAGTAATTTGAGTCTACTATGAATGACAATAACAATACTGACATAGTAAATACTGGGACTAAAGAAGATTATTTCTTATTAAAAAAAAAAAGAGAGAGAGAGAAAAGCTAAAATCTGTGTGGCATACAGGTATACCTCATTTTATTGTGTTTCACTTCATTACATTCTATAGATATTACATTTAACAAACTGAAGGTTTATGGCATCCTTGCATCAAGTAATTCTATTGGCATCATTTTTCCAACAGCATGTGCTCACTTCTCTGTGTCACATTTTGGTAATTCTCACATATTTCAAACTTTTTCATAATCAACACTTGTTGCTGTTAAGTAACATGGAGTCGGTTCCGACTCATAGTGACCCTGTACAGGGTTTCCGAGGCTGTAAATCTTTATGGGAGCAGAACGCCTCATCTTTCTCCTGCGGAACCGTTGGCAGTTTTGAGCTGCTGACCTTGTGGTTCGCAGCCCGATTCGTAATGACTACGCTACCAGAGCTCCTTAATCAACACTTAATAGACTATAATATAGTACAAGCACAACTTTTATATACACTGGGACACCAAAAATTTATGTGACATGCTTTATTGCAATATTAGCTTTATTGCAGTAATCTGGAAACGAACCCACAATATCTCTGAGGTATGCCTGTAATAGAAAGGGCACTAAACTAGAAATTTGAGGTCTGTCACCAGCTAGCTATGTGGAATTAGACAAAATACTTTATCTCTTTGGGTCTTTTATTTCAAATCTATAAAACAAGATTACTGGTGAAATCCTATAAGACCTATGAGTCTATGAATCTGTTGTTTACTCACTCAACGTTCATTTCATTAAAAGGCCCTGTGTGAGGTAATAGAAAAATGGTAGCAAAAGAAACAATGCCCTAGTGGGAATATTAAATTAATGGAGAATACACACATTAACACAAAATCTCACACAAATTTAAATTTCAAGTGTGAAAAGTGCTACAAAGGAACTACATAAAATATCTAATCTAGCTTGGGAACCAGGGAAAATTTCTTTGAGAAGTACATTTTAAGTTAGAAGTTAGCCACATGAAGAATTGGACATGGGGAAAGCATTATAGGCAGAATGTGTGCAATGGTCCTGAAGCAGGAAACAGCTTGATGCATTTAAGAAATAAAATGATTAGAGAGGCCAAGCAGAGTGGGTACTCAGAACTATATGGTCTCCAATGCTATACACATTCATTAACCAACAAATGTCCTGAAAGCCAAATACATACTAGTTAATATAAATACAAAAACACATGGTGTAACGCTCCTGTCCTCAAGTTCTCAATTTAGCATGAACAGAAGGAAAACATCATGCTTGGTAAAGTGGAGGGTCAGCAAAAAAGAGCAAGACTCACAATGAGATAAACTGGTACAGTAGTAGTAGCAGCAATGGGGTCAAATGTAGCAAAGACTGTGAAATTGGCACAGAATCGGGTAGTGTTTCATTCTGTTGCTATGAGTTGGTACTGACTTGACAGCACCTAACAACAAGTCGATTCCAACTCATAGCAAAATATAGGGAATAGCATATGTAAATACTTGCAGGCTTAACTGTTCATGTATTGTTTGGATAATAGTAAGCAATTCCAAAAGATAAGATAAATGTGTGAAAGTGGCAAGAAAGAAGACTGGAGAAGCGGCCTACAGGACATGGGATGCTTACTTGTATACATTCATTTTTGATGTTCTCTCTTCATATAGTTAATAAAGTTCCTAGCAATAATATCATTGAAAATAGTCTTCTATAAAACATTTATACTATACAAACTTACTTGAATTGCTTCATTTCCATTTCTGAGGTCCTGAAGAGGACTCCTTGGAGGTTTTAAAATCTAGAGGTGGTAAGAATTATTTAAGAAAATGTGGCACATGTATTATTGATAACTAGTTCACGTTACACCAAATTACACCTCTAAGGTAGAGGTGCAGAAATTTTCATAAAAAAAAAACCTCCTCAAATTCATATGACTTTTGAGTTATACCCTGTGGCTAGGGTCATTTTTGGAATAGCTGGTTAATAAGTTATGTCTAAAACCATTCATAAGCTAATCAATATTATTTTTTGCTTACATCATTTAGAGTTAGATTTTTTTTGTCTTGCAACAACTTTGTACATGTTAAGCATATTTTTAGACAGCCTTACTTGTAGATAAGATTTACATACCATAAAATTCACCTGTATTAAGTGAACAATTTTATGTTTTTTTTTTCCATTGTGGCAAAAATACACATAACAAAACATGTCAACTCAACACTTTTAACCTGTATAGCTCAGTGACATTGACTGCATTTTTCAAGTTTGCACTATCCTTTTCCAAGCCATACCACTACCATTAACATAAACTCAAAGATTGCTAAGCAAAAATTGCTCCTTTTCCTCTCTCTCTCACCCATGGAACCACTTGGTTTTAAAATATTTGCTTATTTCATATAAGTGAGATCATAAAGTGCTTGTTCTTTTGCAGTTGACAATTTTGCTTGTTTTCAAGATTCATCTATGCTGTAGCATACATCAGGACTTCATTTCTCTTTATGGCTGGCTGGTATTCTATTGTATGTATACAATTTTTTTATTCCATTTTGTTTATTCATTCACCTGTTGATGGACACTTCAGCTGATAATCCAATGGCTTTTTAGTAAATTTATAAACCTGTGTAATCAGATTAAATACCTGCGTCTTATCCATAAAGAAACAGGAAGCCAGTAGAAGTTTTTGGGGAAGCCACATCAAAATTATTGTGTTATATAGTCATCATTTAATAAAAGGTAACACTATCAGTTTAAGTAAATGTTTCTTACTGAGGAATGACGTCTTCTAACAGTTCTCTCTATATTGTCACTGAAAGAGAAAAAGAACAAGAATTTACCTACACATCAGTAAAGGACCAAATTTCCAAAAGCCATTATCACAGCACCTCTTACATGCTTTTAAACTGGCCAGCTCTTTCACATAGCACTCTGGAAGCAAAATTAATATGTCAAGAGTTTTAAATTTAAAACTCATATTGTATACAAGCCTATCTCTTAAACAACAATGCAGTACAATAAAATTTACCATATTCATAGAAATATAATTACAGCTGACCCTTTGATAACACAGGTTTGAACTACATGGGCCCACTTATACGCAGATTTTTTTTCTGTTGTAATTGAGGTGAGCTCAAATATTCAGAGTATCTTTTTAAAACACTGTATGATGCTAATTATCTCAGCATGGTGGTGGTGGTGGTGGTTATGTGCCCGAGATGACTTATTCATGGATTTCAGACTATAAGAGGAAGGCATCTCTAACCCCATTGTTCAAGAGTCAACTGCATATGGTGACTCTGGTTTTACTGCTAAGTGATTTTTGGAGCTGGTTTTGGAAAGTCAAATGCCTATGGAGGTCAAGCAGATAATTTGGCAGATGGAAGGAAAGTAAGGAGTGTTGAGACTGTAATGACCTGGAGAGTTCCTGTCCAGTCTAAAGGTCACAGAGTCCATTCCAGTTAATTGTTGCTAAGGAAGAATATGAGTTTACTGTTGCCACATTTGATTTTTTGAGAGGAGCTGAAAATCTAATTACTGTAGAAAACCTTGGTAGCTTTAAATTTGAGCAACTAATTCAAAATTTTAAAAAAACCACACACAAAACACTGTAAGGGAAAAAAAAAAGTCAATAGGCTATAAGCAGGCCACTAGCTGTAATACCAACTTCAGATAATTCATTTCATCTCCCTGGACCTCAATTTCTTCATTTTTAAATTGAAGAGATGGGAGGTAGACTCTATAATTCCTCTTCAGTGTGACAGATAAGTTTATACAAGGATATAGCAAAGAAGGCTATGACTTTTTTTGTAACATTTACTTCTTTCCCCTGGAACAGAATGGAATGATTTCAGGCCCTACTAGTTGGAAAATTATCTCTCTCTACTAAAGAGTATGTATAACAATTTAAGTTACAATGAATGGACTTACTTTTCTTCATTAGCCTCTGAACACACCCCCTCCATCTTTGAAGAAAAACTTTCCTGAAACAAACATACAATATTAGAAAAGGTAATAAAGGAAAAAGATAAATCACAATCTGTGAAGAGTCTAAAAGCATATTATGACTTCAGAGTTATAATCTGAGGGAAAACCCCAAAAAAGGAAAGAAAAAAACTATATTAGATTTTATGAGGCTATAAAACATAAGATAGTATAAGGAGTTTAAATTACTCTATCATAATGAATATCTCTTGAAATTTCTCATAGATGAGAGAAAAGCAATTACTACTTTTCTAATTGGGATGACATGAATATTACTTGTCCAAAATGGAAGCCAATTAGATATCAAAATGTAGTGGATGAACATCATATGCATATTTATCTTATTTAATATAAATATACAGAAAATTTTAAGAAATAAAAATAACATTCTGAGAATTCTAAGCTATGCTTGAAATTCTCCTCAATAAGTATTTGTCTTGGAAAGAGTGTTATAAGTTATAACCTGAAGTTCCTTAGTTGGTCTCAGTTCCTACCTACCTCTCAAAGTATGAGCGTCTCACTTAAGGAGTATGAAATCTGTTTAAAGGTATATAATTTTTACAATCTGGTCCTGGTCCCAAATGTTTCTTCCATAATATAACCAAAGAAATAGGTAACCACTTTAAAGCAGGTGAGGAAAATAAGACAGGGGAGAGACTAGCTGAATTTATTGATAGTATGTGTCAAAGTTCAGTGTAGTATCTGAGGAAAAACACTATTATTTTTTGAGGGCTTGAACCTGAAATAGGGAGAACTAAAAGTACTACAGCAATCTTAGAATCACAGGGACCTTCTGATAATAGAGATTAAGAGTCAGACAAGAAAAAGAGAAGAGAAATCCTAGTGCTGGTGACATTGTTGGAACACTTGATTATTAAGTTGGGCCTAAAGCTTTTCCACTGCCACTTTCAACAAATGTTGTTAATTTGCAATGAATAAGTCACTGGTCTTGCAAAATTCTAACATATGATTCTCCAGTCATTTCTATCACCAATATCATATTTTCCAACTACCGATTCTTCTTCTTTGCTTCCAACTTTTGCATTTCAACCACCAGTAATTATCAATACATCTTGACTGTATGTCAGCAATGATATCCCTAGTTCCACTTCCTTATCTGAATTCAGTTTGAAGCGCTCATCTGTCAGTGTGTCATACTCTAGTGATTTGTGTGTTGCTGTGATGCAGGAAACTATGGCACCAGTATTTTAAATATAAGCAGGGTACATCCATGGTGGACAAGTTTCAGCTGAGTTCCCACACTAAGACATACTAGAAAGGAGAGATAAGACTACTTCTGAATGTTTAGACACTGAAAACTGCATGAATAGCAGTAGAAAACTGTCAGAAATCACTAGAATGATAGGTCCTACTGAAGGGTTTATTCTCAGTACAATGTTGTTGTTAGGTGCCATCGAGTCGGTACTGACTCATAGCGATCCTATGCACAACAAAATGAAACACTGCCAAGTCCTGGGCCAACCTCACAATTGCTGCCATGCTTGAGCCCATTGATGCTGCCATTTTTCAGGAAGTAGCTAAAGGGAATGTAATTTTAAATATATGTTTGTTTTAATAAGGTAACTGGCTGCTATATGGAGAAAGGACTATAATGGATAAAAGTGAACGCTGGGAGACCATGTAGTAGGCTATTGCAGTATTTCACACGAGAAATAGATGATGGTAGCCTGAACTATGAGGAAACACTAAAGATAAAAGTGAACAAATTTGGGATATTGGAAATAGATCTAATAATGGATTTAACAGAAGTGGAAATAATTGTCATCCTTTTTCCTGATCTCAAAGGGATCATTTTCAAAGGTTCACCATTCAAGTGATTTTTGCTCTTTTTTTTTTTTAAATGGTATTTAAATTTTTAAATGGTATTAAGGAATTTAGCTTATATTCCTATGAGTCAGACTCACTCAACAGCACTTAAAGACAACACATATATATGTACTTAAAAACAAACACACACAAATGTTATTTATGCTAATGAGACTGGTCTGAAATCTCTCCTTTCTTACAATGTTTTAATCTAGTTTTCTGTGATAGAGATTGTTACAGGAAAGACAGCTTAACTTTCATTTCCCACAGCGGGAAGACAATTTAATGTCTAAAGGTTGAAAAATTAAAAAGTAGTAATATAAACAAGTGATCCAGATTAATTAAATAACAAAAATAGTCAGTTAAAAGAGGTGAAAATGGTTGCCTTTGGGAAGGAAGAAATTGAAGTGGAAAGATGTAAAATCAACATGGTGGGTGTCTGACTTCCTCTAACTTCATGATAGGCAGAGAGAAGCCCTATCAGCATCAGCCAAAGCTGATTCTTATGAAGTAGAGGTCAGACATACCTCCTCTCTGCAACCTTTTTACCCATTCTGACACCAGTCATTTCTCCAAGACATGTTCAACCACTTCAAGCGGTATCGTATGATCAAGAGCCAATGATTCTGAAGGAAGAAGTCCAAGGTGCATTGAAGGCATTGACAAAGAACAAGGCACTGGGAACTGATGGAATACAAATTGAAATCTTTCAATAAACTGATGTGGCACCAGAGGCACTCACTCATCTATAGCAAGAAATTTGAAAGACAACTATCTGGCCAGCTGCAACCATACATTGACTGAGAATTTCCAGATGTTCAAGCCAGATTCAGAAGAGGATGTGGAACAAGGGATATCACTGTTGACATCAGATAGATCTTGGTTGAAAGCAGAGAATATCAGAAAGATATTTACCTTTGCTTTATTGACTATGCAAAGGCTTTAGATTGGGTGGATCATGACAAACTATAGACGACACTGCAAAGTATGAGTATTCCAGAACACTTAATTGCACTCATGAGGTATCTGTACATTGACCAATAAGCAGTTGTCTAAACAGAACAAGGGAATATCGAATTGTTTAAAATTAGGAAAGGTGTTCGCCAGGTTGTATTCTTTCACCATACTTACTCAATCTGTATGCTGAACAAATATTCTGAGAAGCTTGATCATATAAAGAAAAACAAGGCATCAGGATTGGAGGAAGACTCACTAACAAACTGTGACATGCATATGATACAACCTTGTTTGCTGAAAGTGAAGAGGACTTAAAATACTTACTGATGAAGATCAAAGACCACAGACTTTGGTATGGGTTGCATCTCGATGTAAAAAAAAAAAAAACAAAAACAAAAGTCCTCACCATGGACCAATAAACATTCATATAAATGGGGAAAATATTGTAATTGTCAAATACTTCATTTTGCTCAGATCAACCATCAACACTCACGGAAGCAGCAGTCAAAAAATCAAATGACATACAGCATGTGGCAAATCTGCTGCACAAAACCTCTTTAAAGTGTTGAAAAGCAAAGATGTCAGTCTGAGGACTAAGGGCACCTGACCCAAAGGTATTTTCAGTAACCTCAGCTCTGGTAGCGTAGTGGTTACGAATCGGACTGCGAACCTTAAGGTCAGCGGTTCGAAACTACCAGCCGCTCCGCGGGAGAAAGATGAGGCTTTCTACTCCCATAAAGATTTACACCCTCGGAAACCCTGTACAGGGTCGCTATGGGTCGGACCCGACTCGATGGCACTCAACAACAACAACAACAACATATGCTTGCAAAAGTTGGACAGTAAATAAGGAAGACCAAAGAAGAATTGATGCATTTGAGATATGGTGTTAGAGAATACTGAAAGTACTATGGACTGCCAAAAGAACAAACAGATCTGTATTAAAAGTATAGCCAGAGTAATCTTTGGAAGCAAAGATGTCCAGACTTTGTCTCTCATACTTGGACATGTTGTCAAGAGGGACCAGTCATTAGAGAAAGATTTCATGTTTGGTAAAGTAGAGGGTCAGAGGTAAAGAGGAAGACTCCCAGAGAGATGGACTGGCACAGTGGCAGCAGCAATGGGACTCAGGCATAGCAACGATTGTGAACCCAGGACCAAATGGTGTTTCGTTCTGTTGCACACAGGGTCGCTATGAGTCAGTCCAACTCCATGGCACCTACCCAGTGATTCCACCATTCATCCGTCAGTTTGTCGAACTTTGGTGGCTTGCATGTTGCTGTGATGATGGCAGCTATGCCACCATTATTTTAAATACCAGGAAGGTCACCCATGGTGGGCAGGTTTCAGAGGAGGTTCCAGAATAAGACAAGACTAGGAAGAAGAGGCAGACTATTTCTGAATGTTTAGCCACTAAAAACCTATGAATAGCTGTGGAATATTGTCAGTTACAGTACCAGAAGATGAGATCCCCCAAGACTGGAAGACACTCAAAATACAACTGGGAAGGAGCTGCCTCTTCAAAGTAGAGTTGGCCAAATTACATGAATGGAGTAAAGGACCTTCATATGCTGATTCACAATTATTTGAAGAGAAACAGCTACAAACATTCATTGATAATCAGAACTTGGAATGTATGAAGTATGAATCTAGGACAATTGGAGGTTGTCAAAAATGAAGATCAATCAACACATAAAGATCAATATCCTAGTGAGGCATTAGTGAAAATGAATGGAGTGATACTGGGCATTCTGAATCTGACAATCACATGATTTACTATATCAGGAATGGAAAACTGAAGCAGAATGGCATTGCATTCATCGTCAAAAAGAGCATTTCAAGTTCTATCTTGAAGTACAATCCTGTCCGTGATAGAACAATACCCATGTACCTATAAGGTGTATTGGAATCTGGTGCAGTGCTGGAGGTTAATGCACTGGACTGCAAGGTCGTTTTGAAATGCAGAGTAAGCAGTTCAAGCTCACCAGCTGTTCCTCAGAAATCCTATACAGGGTCGCTATGAGTTGGAACTGACTTGACAGCACTTAACAACAACATAAGGTATAATCAGTCAATACCACTATTATTCAAATTTATGTACCAACCACTAAAGTCAGTGATGATGAAATTGAAGAATTCTACCAAATTCTTCAGTTTGAAACTAATCAAACATGCTATCAAGATGCACTAACAATTACTGGTGATTTGAAACAAA